GTCTTCAGTTTTATCTAAATGGTACCAACATATCTTTCAAGTCAAACACCTAGAAGTCATCCTTAACTCTCATTTTTCCTTCATATTCCATATCTGTCCATTCATCCATCTTAAGACCCTGTAGATTCTCCCTCCCAAATACATTGGCCTACTTCTCTCCATCTTCACTGCTCCATCTTGGTTCAAGCTCATCTCTTATCCATACAAACTACATTGCCACCACCTGCAAACTACTCTTTTCCTTCTCAATCCATTTTTCAACATGGAAGCCAGATTGATTTTATCAAGATATCTTCCTACTTAAAGTTTTCCAATGTATTTTCTTTAATCTTAGAATAAAATCCAAACTCTGAACATAACCTACAAGGTCCTAAATGATTTGGTCATTTCCAACTCTTGCTCCCTGGCTTTGTCCATTCTCCCTATCACTTGCTACATTCAAGCCACATTAGTCTTTCTTCTGTTCCTTGAATTCCCCGAGCTTCTTCCTGTGTCAGGGCTTTGGCAGTTGTTTTCTCTGCTTGTAACATTTTTTTTCAGATATTTACATATGTAGCTTTTTTTCATCATTCAGGTTTCAACTGCAAAGTCTTTCCTGACAAACTCCCTCCCAGCACATTTTAAAATCAGTACCTTGTTATATCTTCTATACAATATTTAAAATCTGTCATTATTTTATTTGTATACCTATTATTTTTGCCTCCCTGCACTAGGATGGAGCTCCATGGGAGCAATACCCTATCCGTGTAGTTCACAACCATCTCTCTGGTGCCTGGGACAAGCCTGGCACATAGTAACTGCTCAATAAGCACTTCTTGAAGACATAAAGGAGTGAACTCCAATCTTCAATATCTTTAATTTAGCAAAAAAGTAAAAATTTTCCTGGGGAAAATTTCAATAAAAAGGAATAAAGTTATCCAGAATACAATGTATACTTTTTAAATGGGCTTGAGACCAACAATTAGTACTTCATATGAAATTTTAGAAAGTATAGCAGTGACAAAGTTGATCCTGGCTTCTGAAAATTAATAAAGCTGAGTACCCACAAAGTTTAAGAAATCATTGACTAGAAATACACAGTTAAGCAAATTAACTTCAGCAACATTAAAAAGATTTATGGCTTTTGGAGTATCTCTCATTATTTTGAGTTAAGAAGGAATTTATTACTTTTAAATACCCAGGATCAGTGACAGAAAAGCTGAAACAGTTCATGAATCATCTCAAGTTTTATCTACTATTTCTCTAAAAATACACCATCCTAATGAGTCCTTATTCCTTTGAATATATTATATAGTAGATACCTATCTTTAGAGCTCTCTACCTTCTATGTAGTTCTTAAAGAACTTAATTACCAGGGATAAAACAGGAAAACACATAATGATAAATGGATCAATTCATCAAGACATACAATCATTTATATGTACCTTACAAAAGAGCATAAAGCAAAAACTGAAAGAACTGAATGGGAAATAGACAAAATCACAATTACATTTGGTAACATCAACATTCCTCTCTCAGTAATCAACAGAAGAAGGAGACATCAGTAAGTGGCTTTTAAAGAATATCACTTCATGATGATAGAATACACACTCTTTTCCAAGACACATGACACATTCAGCAAAATAGACAATATGCTGGACCATAAAACAAACTGAACAAATTTGAAATAGTTGAATTCATACATAGTATGTTCTTGGGTCATAATGGAATTAAACTCTAAGGCACATGTTCTTCACTGACTCCCAGAGTTCACCTGGTTGAGCTTCAATTGCCCTCAGAGGGCATTTGCTTGATAAATGATCCCTCATTGGCTGCCTTTGCTTTACCTGCACCAACATATCCTGGGATAATTTCCCAAGTAAACTACTTTTGGGGGGTTTATCTCTAGTACAACTCAGGCGAAGATAGCTGCATATACAGTTAATTCTCATTATTGGTGGAAGTTAGATTTTCTAAAGTTGCAATGAATGCTAAGTTAACGAGTACCAAACTGTTGCTCCTAGGGCAAATACAGGGTTAGGTTTCTGCAAGCCTTGAACCACATTTGCATGAACTAATCACTACATAACCTTGCTTTATGTGTGCTTCTATTGAAAGACATGAATTTAATTATTAATGAATCCATATATTGATTCAATACAATTGAACTCATGGACAACAGCACTACAACTCAGGCCAGAAAGAAGCTTATCAAGAGCATGTATTTTCTCCGTAAGGCATGACACAGCTTTCTTGCTCTTGGGTATGCTGGGCAGCACATCAGCACTACGTGTGGAAGCAATAAAATCACCAAAAACATGAAAATGTGGAAAACCCGATACTAAGTACACCATGAAAAGGACTCTTGTTCATAGTACGAGCCAGAAGAAGAAAGCAGAGCATCACCATGATGACCTCAGCTGGGAACAAGCATATAAAGAGACTTGAATTTTTCCAATCTCTGCACACATGTGTGAATAACTGCTGGAGGCCTGGAAGCAAGTATTTTGAGGTTACAAACACGTTTTAGCAAGTAGGTAAATTCTCAAAAATGTAGAATCTGAATATATTGAGTATTATCTATGTCTCTTCAAAGTCTTAATTTTGTGATTTGTGGATAGAATTTTAATTTACTTCTTTCTTATACAGAAAGGAGAGGCTGGGTGACTTTTGCTGGTCAACAAAGGTGCCATCTGCTCCAGTACCCACAGGTGCCGTCCTCTGACTTCCTTCAAAGCCTAGAATCAACTTACATAGCATTGTGCTGAACACATAGCTTATGATTCTTTGTGAGATCTCCTCAGATAATATTTACTGCAGCCATTGCTTTTATTCTTTTCTAAGCACTTGGACAGGTTGTAAATTAAGCTCTGGAACAAGAAAAACTGGAAAGACTCTGGAAAAAAAGCAGCCATTTCTTACACGATAATATCTATCAGTTTCAATCATTCTCAGAGGGAGATGCCTGAGAGAGATTTCTTTGCTAGATAAGAATAGCTAAAAAGTAATCCCTGAGAACAAAGTGGACTTAAAGTTTGTGTAACACACCCACACACACAAGTGCATAAAATAGCCTTGGGTGAATGAACAAATCCTGCAGGCACAGAAAACTGAAGCTGAGGTGATACAGTGAGTCAAATGTTTACTTCTGAAATGTCTTTTTCTCCAAATTATAACAATTAGGAATGAGAATACTCAAAAGCATATAAGATTCCAAATATTATTTTTTAATTTATCTGACATGAACATATAAGACTACACAGAAAGATGATACAAAGCCTAACGTGGTGTGAGGCAGGGATAATTTGGTAAAGGGAGCATAATAATACACAGGTTTAATTGACCTCCAACAATGTCATAGAATTAAAGCCCAAACCAGTTATACAGAAAACAGAACATAGACTAATACCTTTAATGACTAATAGGAGAACACAAATTTTCCTTCAGAAATGTAGAGTTAAATAATACTATAGTTACCTTAGTATCACTTTTCCTAGTTTGCTTTAGTGCAGGAACCTGGCAATAGTCAAATTCCTTTTCCTCAAGCCATGCTCATTGAAAAAAATTCAAAGCACAAAAACACTTTATTTACTCCTTATGACAACTTAATAAAAAGATAGCAACTTATTCACAACTTACTACTAAATGTGGAAAAACATGGCCTAGATAGAAACTTTCAACAGCACATTCACCATTCCATACACATTGACAGAATATTTTATGTCAAGCAGCATGGCAGAAGATGGGAAATGGGTATACTGTGAAGGTAGAATTCCTCCCAGCATGTGCTCTTGGGTGACTAATGAGATATATTAGTAACCATATGCATACATAGTGACACAGGTACTATTAGAAAGAGAAACCTGTGGAGATTAAAGGAATTTGGAAGAGAACATACCCAGTGGAAGGTCAGAGGGGACTTCCTGGATAAGATAGTGAACTAAGAGAACATGGAAATACAGAGATTTAGAGAAGCTGAGCATCTCAAGTTTATCTGAAGTGGAAGGTTTAATTATGAACCTTGGTGAGAGATGAACTAGGCAGGTAGGCAAGGGCCAAATCTTGAGGGCCTCATAAGTCAGGCCGAGAAGTTTAGATTTGTTCAGAAGGCAAAGGATCCCGATACAAGATTTTCTATCAAAGGAGAAAAATTATGAGTGTAGTGTCAGGTTTACAATTTCAGAAGATCACTCAGGAAGCAGGTAGAGAATGGACTGCAAATGTGGAGCTGAAGTAAGAAAAACTGTTAAGTGGCTGTTTTGCAACTTAAGTAATGATAATTCAAGTAACAGTAATCCAAACACCATGAGGACCTGAACTGTGACAGTGGTTAAGAGAAAAGAGAGAAAATGAAGAAGTATTTAGGAGACAGAATCACTAGGACTTGGAAACTGATAGAAGTGAGGTATCAGTGAGACTGAAGGCATCCAAGATGCTTCCAGGTTCCTACTCTACGCTGTTAATTGGACAAGGGTGCCAAAATAGCTCCTCATGGCTGAATACGGCAGACTTTTTGTGTGTTGTAACAACCGTATCTGATGACATTTAAATATCAGAAATAAAAATAATCCTTATGACTGACAGGAGGGTAAAAAATGTTAAATTCTACTTTGTGTTCTTAAAAAATAAATATTTAGCCCCACCACTGAACACAGCTGTCATTACAGCAGGGGACAGCTCCTCCCAGGCACCTGTGACCACCCAGGGGGTCTGGGATTCTGTACAAACAACAGCATCAACTCCCATTCTAGGCAGACCCCTCCTGACAATCAATACTGTAAAATAGGATGTAACCTAATAGGATACCCCCCTCCCAAGGCCTTCATTACATCCAGGGAACCAGTCATGTAACAGAGTAGAAATTAGACCTTTGGATGAGGTCTTGACTGGACTTCTTCATTTCTTACTCTTATCTGAAAGAATTTCACTCTGAGGATATAGTAGGAGTATATGATCTCACTAAGAACTGGATAACCAGACACACCACTTATGAGCGAGGACTCCCCAAAAACAAGAATTTATTTACTAAAAATTTTGCATTTATTCTTATATGTTTAAATTTCAGTCACCTTCAAAATACTCTCTATCTGATGCAATACATTTACTGAGATATCTTTTTCACTGTTCAAAACAGTTTTTGAACTCATTGATTTTGTTGTCTTTTATTGCTTCTGCCATTTTTTATTTTACTTCTTCCACACTGTCAAAACGTTTCACTTTGAGGATCTTCTTTTCACCTAGGGAAACAAAAAAAAAGTCGCTCAGGGCAAGATTAGGTGAATAGAGAGGTGTGACACAGGGGTCACGCCATTTTTGGTCAAAAACTGCTGAACACTCAGTGCAGTGTAGGCAGATGTGCTGGTGAATCATCCATCATGAAATGGGAAAACACATTGAGTTCTCAAATAAAATTCATTGAGGCTGAATGCAGCCTCTCACAACAACACCAGCTGGTATACTGATACAGATGGGTTCCTAGAATACTTATCTAGTGGGGAAAGGCTGTACAATAAGGGGCCTGCCCTCCAGAAGGTAATTCCTGTTTTTTAGTGGGGGGGGGGAGTCCTCCCTCCTATATCTTCAATGGCTCTTCCCTGCTCTTAACACAGAATCCAAAATCTGTACCATGAAATCAATGATCTTCATTCTCAGGTGGTTTCCTTTTACTGAGAACTTGTCTCTTCACTCACTAGGCTATGGTAACCATGTTTAAATGGCACAGCCTGAACTCCTGGTAACAGTTTAAAGACCAAGGTGGACCCAAAATGAATTATCTGCCAAGAATGTCTATCTTTGCAACACTGCAATCTAATATGTCTTTAGTAAATGACAGTTGATAAAGATGCAAATAATTTGCCCAACAGTGGGAAAAATGCCCCAAAGGTTATGTTGTTGCTCTGCAGGACAGTCATCATTTTTGTATCTAACCCTGCAATCTATTCCAGCATTCATTTTTACAGTGATTATACAAACCATTCTTTCAAACTCTTTTTACTATCCTGCTAGTTCCCTAATTAGTAAGTTAGGTGAATCTCTGGCACATGCTCCTTCTATATTTGTTAAATTATACTGTTGATAAAGATAGCTAGTTGTACATAGCTCACTTTTCTGTGTGAATTACAGTAGGCATAAGCCTGAGGAGGGTCTACATATACTGCAAAAGGTTTTGCAATCCAAACCAGTAAGGCCCTTTTAAAAACAGAAATAGTATTTCTATGAGAGATATTTCATCTTCTGGAGCCGAATGAATTTTCCAGTATCGCCAATTTCTGACTAGTGTATTTCCGTTACCTCCGGGTCACGTAACTTAGCCTGAGAGAGGGGTCAGGGTCTTTGACTAAGCTCATTCTACCAACTATCACCTTGTAATAGCTGAAAAAATATTTAGAATAAGTCCAAATTGTTATACTTGGCCTTCAAGCTTGCCCCCACCTACACCATTTGCCTGATCTGCTGATGAAGCGCAAATAATACTAGGCTATTGGCAAGGAGTAAAATTACTTGGGACTTAGACTCAGAGAACTAGGTTGAATTAGGGCTCTGACCACTTGCAAGTCTCGACTCCTTGGGAAAGTCACTTAACTGACATCTCAGGACTTCAATATACACACCAGCGATACAAAGCAAAGATCTGCGGCATCCTCGCCAACCCTCCGCCTCGGAGCCCAGCCCCTTCAAGTTAGCCCCGCGTCTGCCTCGCCCCGACCTTTGGCTTCCAGGCCGCTCCTCCCTGTTCTGTCCCTCTCCTCGCCCCCAGCTTTGCCCCGCCCCGCACTCCTGTCAACGCCCCCTTACCCAAACTGTGCGCTGGCCCCACCCTGGCCTCACGCCAACTGCGGCCTCTAGGACCCTCCTCTCGGCTCCGGGAAGGGAAGGTTGGGGCGTGGAATCCTTCCTCGCCCTCGGCCTTGCACTCTGCACACCCTCCCCTAATCACGCTACGCACTGGCCCCGCCCCATCCCAGATGAACCTATCGGGTCCCTTCCCTTCCCAAACGCACCCTCACCCACATAGTTCCGCCAACTTCCCCAGAATCGTTAAGGCAGCTTGGCAGTAACACTGGCTCGGCGCTGGTGTCCAGAAAGAGGTAAGTACTGACCCGGGGCCCGAGGTCGCCTATGGGATGCTACCATCCTTGCGGGGGTGGCCGCCCGCTGTAGGGAGACTCCATATCTGTTAGCTTGTCTTCGTAGCATCAGTGTTATTCTTTTAATGGTATTTCAAGTTGAGAATGACCTTCAGTGCCCTTCTGAAATGCACAGCCTTCTCCTCCCCTGGAAGGCCCAAGCTGCGTCACCTAGGCGGGTGTGTGTCCCCGCGTCCCCGCGCGTATGCACGCTGTATACACACCGCCACCCTGGCTGCTTCTAGGTTACAAACGTACTTAGGAAGACCTCTAAGTGGGCTTTGCTTATTTGCTGAACGCTTTAGAAACGCAAATCCTTTGTCAGTGTGGTGTTAAACTAAGTGTTTTTGGAGAATAACTTTGCACTATTATTTTCTGAAAACTTGTACATTTAGGTCTTCTATGGACATTTTTAATTTTGCTTCTTATCCGTGGAACATGCTAGGTACCAAATTCATGTAGGATACAGAGTTTTTCCAGAAAGAAAGAAAACCTTAATCAAATATTTAAAATAAAACTTACTGCAGACCAGTTTTGTTGAATTATGCAATAATATTTCAAAGTTCGAACCTAGACTTCATACTCTTTGAAGGTTACGGTATTGTAGATGAGGTAATACATATGCTATGTTTGGGCTTTGTTTGTAACTATTATTTTAATCATCTTTGATACCATTAACTTTATTATTCAAGATCATCATTGTGAACACCATTTTTTTGCTTGTGTCCTCAATATTGTACCGTGAATTTTCGTCTTCCCTCTGCTAACTGTATGTGCTTAAAAACTTATCTGGCCAAGCTCTGTTTCTGCTCCTGGCTGACTGGTTAAAACATCATGGGGTTAGGAGTGAATCTGCATCTGCTCAGCTGGGCTTCTTTTTTTGTTCTTTTTGGTTTTGTGATTTTATTTTCCTATTTATTTTGTTTTATTGAATCTGTTGGGGTGACATTGGTTACCCCAATAAAATTATCTGGGTTTCAGGTATACAATTCTACAATACATGATCTGTATATTATGTGTTTACCACCCACTCAAGTGTCCTTCCATAACCATTTATCTCCACTTTACCCTCTTCTACCTCCCACCACCACCTGCCTTTCTGCTGGCAGTCACCAGACTGTTGTCTGTGTCCGTCTTTTTCTTTCTTTTTTTTTTTTTTTTTTTTACTTAATCCCTTTACCCTTCTCACCAAGTCCCCAATGCCCACCTCTCTGACAGCTGTCAGTCTATTCTCTGCATCTGTTTCTATATTGTTTGATAGTTTTCTTCATGCATTAGATTCCATATATAAGTGAAATCATATGTTACTTGTCTTTCTCTGACTGGTTTATTTCACATAGCATGATAGTTTCCAGGTCCATCCATGCTTCATTGTTAAATCAGTGAGTGCAAAGGCTGTTTCTGGGCACTGGAAAACAAACTACTAACTTCTTTGTGTGTACTTTACCCCCTTGGATCAGTCTTATGCTCTCTTCTGTCTTGTATTCCTTTTATTTACCTCTTGCCTGTGGCAAAATTTACATGGCTATTTGGGCTCAGGCACACCTCATTTTACTGCACTTTATTTCACTTCACAGGTGTTGCAATCTTTTTACAAACTGAAGGCAAGAGCCTCCACCAGCAGAAAGATTGCAACTTGCTCTGTTGCAAAATTGCTGTGCTCTGAAACCAGCATTATCTCTTGGGTATGTTTGTATTTAATTTGAATTGCTACAGGTAGCATGCTGGATAGTAGTTTCCTTTACCTTTATTTTAAATTACTGCAGTTAGCTTCTGTATTGATTTCTTATCTAGGGATCATTTTGGAAACCACTAACCATTTGCAGCCAGCTTGCTTGGGGCAAGTATAGGGAAAATATTTATAGAGAAACACAGGTTGGGAATAATTAGAAATCAGTCTGCCTATTTGTAGTCCTTTGCAGGTCATTAATTTCCCATCACTTCAGTTGCACGTGAGTGCAACAGCAATGAGATCCAGTCAGAAGGAGTTTGAAAATGCAGTGAATCAGGTAAAACTGTTGAAGAAGGATCCAGGAAATGAAGTGAAGCTAAAACTCTATGCACTGTATAAGCAGGTAAATGCCTAAGGTCTGATATAATTTAGAGACATTATGAGCAAATGGCTCCTCAAATAGATATGCTATATGTTTTACTGAAATTCAGCTTTAATATTTTTAGGGTTTGTTTTGCTGCCTTTTTTGTTTAAAGACTGTATTAACCTAAAAATAAAATGCCAAAGTGAGAGGCAATTTTGTGTTCAACACTGAGTATCTAGCTCCCGTATATACAAGGAAATCAATTGGCCTGTTCCTCACAGTCAACTGTATCTGGAGCTCCCATGGGGAAATAGTAATACGTCAGGAGATGTCCAGTAGAACCCCTGGGCCTCCTCATTCATCATCAGACTCTCCTCTCATCTTCAGCATTTCTTGGTGGGGGTTCTCATTTCTATTTTCCCTCTTGAATTTTGGGCACTCATTCCTCCAACGACCCTCCTCCTTGGAATAGACACATTGGTTGATGCCTGTTGGGCCTCTCCTCCTCCCTTTAGGGTCCTGCTTCTTCCTTTGGCCTCCCCAGCCTGCTTCTAAAAACACTGTGGCCTGTTTTGTCTTCCTTTCTTCCTGGGCATTGTAAACTTTAAATGCTATGTCCCCCAGCTGAGAGGGACTCATTCCCAATGCCCCATCTATACGCTAGAGTTTCTTTCTGATATCTGGGGCACTTTGCCCAATAAAAGTCATGTTCATCATCTGCACATTCTCTGGTGCCTGTGGATCAGTGTCAATATGCTTCCTTTTAGTCTGATAGATCCGTTGTAAAAATTCAGAAGGATCCTCATTTGGCTTTTGCTGAAGGGCCTATACCATATTTGGGCTCTTTAGCTTGGACACCCCCTTCTTAAGTGCTTCCAGTACACACTTTTTGTAATGTTTCAGGAAGGCTAGGCCCCTACTATTTGGATTCCAGTTAGGCTCTGTCAGGGGAATTGCCTCAACTGAATTGAGAGTTCCATTGAGATCCTCTTGTTGGAGATATTGGGCCTCTTCATTAGGCCTGTTTATAACCAGCCATCTCTCATATGCAGTTAACAAGATATTTAAGAGAGCCTATACATCTGCCCAGTTTGGATGATGAGTGACAAAAATGGAGGTGATAAGATCTGCCATTCTCTGAGGATCATCTTTATTCGAGGGGTTAGAGTTCTTCCAATTCAGTAAGTCTCAAGAGGAGAACAGAGTATGGGCCCAAAAGTGGTACCTTTGGGTACCTTTGGGATATTGACTCAAAGGGCATTGGTTTGCTCTGAATTGGCTCTCTGGTCTAATTGGGTGCCCTGACAGGTCTTCGGTGGGGCGACCTCTCCCCAGTTATACAGGGGTGGAGCCATTGGCTCTGTAGTCTCTTCATTTGGCAGCTTGTGAAGGGGATGGCAAGGAAGCTCCCCCGTGCCACCCATCCTTGGTCCCCTGGGTTCAGAACACTGATAAAGTTTATCTCCTCTTTCTCCCTTCCCTCCTGTGTTTTACCATCAGGGGGAGGTTTTGAGGCCACTTCCCTTCTTTGTACCATCAAGCGATCCTCTGACCTTGACAAAACCCTATTATATAACGACATAAATGCACTGACATAATGAATTTCATCCCATCTAACTGTTGGCAATACTGTTCCAGCTGCATAAATGGTACAGCAACTCAGGGAACCATACATGGGCCACTTTTCCCCACAATCCAAAACATACGTAGGTCAAACAGTATTACAGTAATAAACCAGTGCCTCCTTGGACTTAGGGATAATGGCAGTACATACTCCAGTCCTCCAAAATTCTACCCAGTGGGCTACCCCTCGGGACCAGCATAGAACCATCCCTATTGGCCTAGATGTACAAGTCCAAAGCTATGACTGAAAGAATGCAGGTAAACTGGCAACATATAAGCAAAACCCACAACTCCATTATTCCAGGCAGTGCTCACAAGCAAATTTTCTGCCAAGCAAGGTCACTTCTCAGAGCCCATCCCCTTCCCTGACCCATTTCCTTTCTATCTGCCAGGCATATTTAGGCATTCAATGCCCTCAAAAGGTATGTAGAGAAAAATTCTCAGAGACTGGGAAACTCCACAGTCCCACTCCCACTCCTGAGGGGGTCAGCCTGCTAAAGCCAATTATCACCATCCCTTTGCTGTCGCCATTGCTGTTACAGAACCCCACCGATGCTGTTCTAGAACAGTTGTGGGGTTCAATTGCCTGCCACCAGGAAGCATGACTCTCAATGCAAGAGTTCAGTGAAAAAGAAAAGGGGTTGTTTATTTAAAGGCTATACAGATTTAGATAATGGCAGATATGTGCCATTAAGTCCCACCCCCTTTTAAAACCACCCAAAACGTGTAGTCCTACCTCCCTTTGCCAAACCAGGCTAGTTTCAGAACCTGCCAGTACGTTACTGCCTTTCAGAAAAGCACAAGTCCACAGATCAGCATTTCCCATCACGGTTCAGCTCCAAACATCCCTCACAAATCTGGGTGGCGAGGTGGGTCCCCCAGGCAGTTCCCCCAGCTGTGCCACTGTCTTGTCCAGGCGGACTCGAATCTGGGTGTCTGGGCAGGTTCCCCTCAGCTATACTGCCAGCTCCAGCAACTCACTCGACTTCCAACTTTCAGGCCTTCTTTCTCTTATTTCAGATTATGTGACTCTTTTCTCTTTCAGCCTGCTCTCATTTAAATGCTCAGCGTGGAACTACCTGCATGACTGCATATCTGGCCCCTCTTGTGATGTGTTAGTATCTGCCATTTTTGCCAGTTCCCTGTGTCTTTCACTTTCTTTTGGTTGCCATCTTTAGTCAGGGCAAAAATTCTCAGTGATGCAGGGACATCCAAGGAGGGTATCTGCCGCCTCTCTCTCACACGGGTGCTCTATAAACTCTCTGCCTCGTCTACAGCCATAGCACCCTGAATGCCAATCTCCCAATCTCAACTGTAAGCTCTCCCTCCCGCCCATATCACAAGCCCCTGAAGTTCTCAGTTATGTACACAATTGGCCCTGAGCCGGCCACCCTCTTCCCTTCAGGAGGGCACAGCTATTAACTTGCCATTGTTATGCAATGCATTTTAACTGCTGTATCATCCACTCCCCCACCCCTCAATTAAGGACTGTGGGGGCTGTGCTCTGCACCCCATTACATACATACCTGTGTTTATATATTGTACTGTTAAATCCTGTTAAGGCAAAAACCCTTCAGGTTCTTTCCTGAGTAAGAGACTTAAAAGATGTAACAACCAAATTTGTAGACCTTATATGGCTGTTGATTATAATAAATCAACCGAAAAAGTTGTTTTGAAAAAATTGGGGAAATTTGAAAATGGACTGAGTAGTAGGTGATACCTAGGAACTGTTGTTAATGATATCATGGTTATATAAGAAAATGTCGTAGTTTTTTTAGGAATGCATACTATGTAGGGGTGAAATAATAATAGTGTTTGGGAGTCACTAAAATAAAGCAAAAAAGAAAGAAAAGAATGGAGGGAGCAAGTATGGCAAAATAATAGTTGTTGAATTTGGGTGATGAGTATTAGGAATTCATTATAATATTTTTGTGTATGTTTGAAAATTTTTGTAACAAAATTTAAAAATGTAAGTTTAAGTAGCAATATCCAAAGACTACCCTGGAAGTCAACCCCTCTGGGCTTCTGTGTGTTACCTGTTTTTTTCTTTCTGTGATTGCTATGAGCCTCTCCTACTTTCATATGAGTGTGTATAGTAAAGAATTTAACTTTGTCCAAAAAGAGGTCTGGCCTTTGCCCTTGGCTTCTGGGCAAAGTTACCTTAGATTACCTAATATCTAAACCTAGAACACCTAATATCCAAACCCTTGAAATGCTGTGCCTGATAGGAGTGTCTTTGTTTACAGTCTAACAGTGATTTAGAGTGGGACTGGCCACAGGGTAGTAGCAACCTACTGTGTTTTAGGGTGGGGCTTCATTTACATAATTAATTGAAGTGGAGCTTGAATTGAAAACTCTGAACACTGAGGCCTGAGTGGGCTTTTCTGGTGGATGATACTGCATGTATATTGTCACTCAGTTCTAGGAGAGGTACACTGTCCTGACTCCACAGTGGGGGCAGGAGGGTATCCATCCCTAGACTTCACCTTACGCATCTTCTCCCCTGCTGATGTTGAACTGTAATCTTTCCTGGTAATAAACTATAATCATGAGTTCTGTGAGTTATTCTAGCAGATTACTGAACCTGAGGGTGGTACCACAAGCGCCCAAACCTTGCACTTGGCATTGCAAGTAGGGGAAGTCTTGTGGACTTCGTTGCCTCTAATTTCTCAGGTGGTTAACTCTTGTGGAGTCACTTTTGTCTCTTTGTCTTTGGTAAGTCTTAGCCTCATTTACTGCCTTTGTTTTTCAGAGCTCTTCTTTCCTCTTTAGCTGATTACATTATAATATTTAACATTTTTAATATGGTTATTATGTGGAGTTTTAATCACCATTTCTAAAATGTAGTTGACTAGGATATTTAATTCATCTGAAAACATTCACTTCGCCTACTGTCAAACAAGTAAAGTCTAGTTGTTTTTTGCTTTCTACTCACATGTCCCTTAGATTGGTTCCCTACGGGCCAGGGGTTCTGACAGCCTCACCCTACTCTCTCGGCTACAACTCCATTGCTCAGTTACCAGAAATCCACCACTGAATTAGTGGTAGTGTTTTCTACCTTTGAGTGGGCTTTCAGAGTATACTGTGGGTTTCTGAATGTTTGTTGGCTAATTACCTTTGAATATTGTTTGCTTGAATATTTTAATTGTGTGTGAAAAATGTGATCATTGACTTAAAACTAATGAACTATTAGAATTTTTGGAAAGTGCTTTCCTACCACCTTTTGCAGTATTTTCATATGTAGGCAGTTATAACTTATTTGAAGGACTCATAGCAAATGGAACATTTTGTCTTCCTCCAGGCTTCTTTCTGTTGTTTGTGCCTTTTTAGCAACAGTATCAGATAAACAAGGGGAAAGTTCAGATTGTTTTATATACCTTGTGAAACTATTTGGTAGGGAAGGCACATTCATCCTAGTTGTGTGTTTTACGGATCTTAAAATTTAAGGTTCCAATCTGCATGGACATTTGTCTAATAATTGCTCCTGTCCTTTTCACAGGCCACTGAGGGACCTTGTAATATGCCCAAACCAGGTGTGTTTGACTTTATCAATAAGGCTAAATGGGATGCATGGAATGCTCTTGGCAATATGCCCAAGGTAAATTTATTTGTTATTTTACTTTTATTTTACTTCCTGTACTCCTAAAGGAAGTTGGGTGTTTCTCATTATCAATCCATTATAGACGGAAACTTTAAGATCTTCATGTAACTCTTGAGTCAGAACCTCTGTTCTTTCTTCATTGCAAGGTGCTACTTATTAGTATAGTAAGTTTCTCAAAATGCTTATTCATTGACCATGGGCTTAAGTTATTTGTCATCTTCTCTTCAGGAAACTGCCAGGCAGAGCTATGTGGATTTGGTGTCCAGTTTGAGTTCTTCCTCTACGTCCTCTAGCCAAGTGAAGCCTGGAGCAGACAGGAAACAGCAGGAATATGAAAACCTGGTGGTGACCTCTGAGGACGGCATCACAAAGATCATGTTGAACCGGCCCACCAAAAAGAATGCAATCAACACTCAGGTGACATTACCTTCCCTGGGGGTTCTTCCTCCTTTTTTTCCTTCTCCTATTACCCTCAGAATTAGTGTTTCAGCATCATTTCCTATTTTTGTGTTATCTTGTTTGATTTGTGCAGGAAGATTAGAAATTGCGACTACTTCTTTATACAACAGAGCTAGGCCTTCATTATTTAGAATTTGTGAGCTTCAGGTAGGTTCTACATGCCAAAAAGGAACTACAATTTTCCCAATGGTAGAAGCACAGATAGACTAAATAAATGAAACCTACACTAATATAAGAGGATGTGTGTAGAGGTTCTCTAAGGTTGGTATAGATTGCCCCCAGAAGTATCTTCATGTCACTTAGACTTGAGAGTGAGTGATGTTCTACCTGTATGGAGCTTTATTTCCTATAAGTAGAAGGAGAAAGGAGAGAAGGACTTCATCTGAAACAGATCATAACTTGTCTCTGCTTGAAATGTGCTACTTCACAAGGGCAACTTTAGTTTCTGAATCTGTCATTGAACTAGAATGATAATAAAAATAAGCACTTTATTTCTTTCATCTTGAAAAAAATTATAGGGAGTTAATTGGATGTTTGGTGCCGAACTAGTAGTAAAATTTGAGAGGGCTATAACCCCTTTCATTGGGTTTATCATCTACATCATAGTAGAAAGAGTATACTAATTTAAAATAGTCTTAAATAAGAATTTCATAAAGTTGGATGTGCCATTCAATTAATAAAACATTTGGTTCTCAAAACTGTTTTCCCTTTTATCCTGAGTCACTTCTGTGTTATCATGGTAATGACAGTAGTGCTAGCTACTCATTACAGAGCTTAATATGTGTCAGCCCTTTTTATGCAAAGGTTTGTTTAGTTCCCACAAGGAGCCTACTGTTATTATTTAACAATAAAATAATTAGAGTAAGTGGTAACTTGTTCAAATTCACTCAACTAATATGCAGGAGAACCTGACTTGAAACCCCAATATATCTACCTCCTAATCCTGGTTCTTGCCAGTTACCCTGTTGTGCTGTATCATCATAACTATAATAATACTAAAATGACTTCCTCATTCCCTCCCTCAATGAAAATGATTTTATCTTTATTCATATATTTTGAAGTTTATGCATTCTTTTCTCATTGTCTGTGTATCTATAAATATCAGCCCTCTTCATCATTCTCTCCCACACTGAAGTCTTATCTAAGGTAGAAACTATACCTGTGTTAAATGCATTAAAAGCTATAACAAGTACACATCCAAGATTTTCAGAAATATTGCTGATTTAAAATATTGGGCCTATTGTGCTTCACTATCCTTACAGTGTCTTAGAAATCCCAGCCTTTTAATACTCATTAATATTTCCCAGACTGCCTGGGATACTTGTGTTCTTTCTTCAGGTTGCAGTTGAAAAACTGCTTTGGGGAAATTTTACTCTGGGTACCTCCCATTCTGTCTACCCTACATAAGTATCAGCTCCTTCTCTGAGCTCCTCTGCTTCTTTGTACTTCCCACCCAGTTTAGAGTTACCTCTTCTATTACTTCCAAAGACTCAAGGATTGTGTCTTATTCACTTTTGGCAAAAAGTGGAGCCCTGGCTGGGTTGCTCAGTTGGTTGGAGTGTCCTGAAGCAATCGATTGATATTTCTCTCTTTTCCTCTCTCTCTAAAATCAATAAACGTATTCTCAGGTGAGGATTTTTTAAAAAAGTGGATACATTCTCCCAGCATCTACTGTAGCACTTGGTACATAATACAAGTTGTATTGTAAAAGGAATGACAATTCTTTCAAGTTTATTGGGCTGGCTTTTTGATCATTTAAATACAACCAATATAAATGTTTGGCACTTTGCAGAGAATAGGCTTGCAGACTGACATTTGGTGAATCTACTGGGTGATAGTTATCATTTTCAGGATTTCTTTTCCCTTTTTCCCCCTTTCATACAGACGTATCAAGAAATCATTCTTGCACTTAAAGCTGCAAGCAAGGATAACTCAGTCCTAACTGTTTTAACAGGTAAGACATTTTCTTAAATTATTTTTTTAAGCAGGAGAAAACCAAATATTAATATATGTGCATGGGGAATCCACACAGATATGATAAATCCATGAAAATTTCAAAGACAGTGAAGCAACATTGGGTAAAGAAGACATTTTGGACAAAGGACAAAAGAAGGGTAATGGTGTATTAGATTTCAGAAGTGAGAATGGGCAATTTCAAGTAGTTGAAGAAGAACAGAACCTTTCTTAGGTTTCTTAATTAAATATTTATTTTGAGGGATTTCCTACTAGATAAGAAATTAAGTATATAAGCTCTAAGATCTTTTTCAGTAATAGATACTCTAATTCCTAAATATATGAAAAATTTAATAGACACAAAATTGATGTCTATAAAAAGCAGATACATATTGGTAAGAAATATACTATTGGTACTAAAATTCGGTACTTAACAAAGGGGATGGTCTTAATGTAAGAAAGATAATCTTTGCAGCATTACTTATAGTTGTGAAAATGTGGAAACATTCTAAATTAGGGAGTTCCAGCCAAGATGGAGGCACAGTAGAAATGTTTCACTTCCTCACACAACCAAAAGAAGGATAACAATGAATTTTAAAACAGTAAACAACCAGAACCACCAGAAAATCAAATAGCATGGAACTCTGGCAATCGAAAAGTTAAAGAAACATTCATCCAGACTGGTGTGTTGAGACAAAGGAATGTGGCCCAAATGAAACAACAGATCAAAACTCCAGAAAAAGAGCTAAGTGATAAGGAGATGGACAACCTCTGATACAGAGTTCAAAACACTGGTAATCAAGATGCTCACAGAGTTGACTGAGCTTGATCACAAAATGAAGGAAGAAATGAAGGCTATAAAAGTGAGATGAAGGAAAATGTGCAGGGAACCATCATGAAGGGAAGGAAACTGGAACTCAAATCAATAATTTGGAACAAAAGGAAGAAATAAACATCCAATTGGGACAGAATGAAGAAAGAAGAATTCAAAAAAATGAGAGGCTTAGGAACCTCTGGGACAACTTTAAGTGTTTCAACATCTGAATCACAGGGCTGCCAGAAGGAGAAGAGGAAGAGCAAGAAATTGAAAACTTATTTGAACAAATAATGAGGGAAAACTTTGACAATCTGGTGAAGGGAATAGACTTCCAGGAAATCCAGGAAGCCCAGAGAGTCCCAAAGAAATTGAACCCAAGGAGGAACACACCAAGACACAACATAATTAAGTTACCCAAGATTAAAGATAAGGAGAGAATCTTAGAAGCAGCAAGAGGAAAGGAGAGAGTTACCTACAAAGGAATTCCCATCAGACTGTTAGCTGATTTCTCAAAAGAAACCTTACAGGCAAGAAGGGACTGGAAAGAAGTATTCCAGGTCATGAAAAGCAAGAACCCACATCCCAGATTGCTCTATCCAGCAAAGCTATCATTTAGAATGGAAGAGCAGATAAAGTGCTTTCCAGATAAGATAAAGTTAAAGGTGTTCATCATCACCAAGCCCTTATTATATGAAATGTTAAGGGGACTTATTTAAGAAAAAGAAGACCAAAACTATGAACAGGAAAATGACAATAAACTTAAAACTATCAATAACTGAACTTAAAAAAAAACAAAAACAACTAGAACAGGAACAGAATCACAGAAATGAACATCACTTGGAGGGTTATCAGTGGGGAAGGGGAGGGAGGAATGGGGTGGATGAAGTACAGGGTATAAGAAGCATAATTTGTAGGCATAAAATAGACAGGGGGAAGTTAAATATAGTATAGGAAATGGAGAAGCCAAAGAACTTATATGTACAACCCATGGGCATGAACTAAGGAGGAGGAGGAATGCTGGAGGTTGGAGCAGTGCAGGGTAAAGGGGGGATATAGGGAAGAAAAAAATTGGACAACTGTAATAGCATGATCAATAAAATATACTTTTAAAAAAGAAAACATCCCAAATTATGTTGCCATATTAGAATAATAAAGCAAATTACAGAATACCCACTACTGTATAAAAGACAAGCATTAAAAAGTATAATTGTGTAAAGACCAACAATATAGAAAATGTTTAAGATATAATAAAAAAACATTAGAAATTATATCAGTGCTGTGATTATAACTGGAACATATGATGGATGCCCATGGACCTGAATGGATGAGAATAAGGAAAATGAAGGTTTGGATTTGGAAAGGGCACCGTGCTTAGTGGGGACTCAGATCAACTTGAGGTTAAATCCTGGATTCATGCCCTACTACCTATGGGTGACCTCTCATTTTGAATGGAGAAGTCAGTGTTTTATTAACCCTATTGAATGGTTGAGAAGATCACATGAGATGATGCAGGTAACAGGCATGGCACACAGCAGAAACTTGTTAGAAGTTGGCCTGGCAGAAGCAGGAGTGATTTTTTTTCTTTATCATTAAAAGTTGTAAAATAAGTATTATCTAGAGGTACCAGATAGCTTTTATTAAAAAGCAGAGGGGAAGAGAGAGAAATCCAATAGCTGATTCTAGGGGATGAATGAAAGCAAAGAGTTGAAGGGGCCCTCATAGTCCATGTGATTGCCCAGGTAACTTAGGAGAGTGAAGATGAGAAAAACAGTAGTCTAGAAGTAGCATTTGTTTAATACTGGAGAATGTTTGATATTTTCTAAACTATTTTTTTAATATAAGTATAACATAGGCACATGGTTTTTACAAAACCAAAATGTATGAAAAGTACATGACAAAACTAAATCTCACTCTCCGTGGAACCCCAGTCTTGCTCCCTAGGAAAATTCAGTTCTCCTTGATGCCTTTCAGGAAGAAAGGCATATACTGTCCAAGCATGTGTGTGTTAGTTTTCCTCCACTTTTTTTAAAACAGAAAAGGAAGCATACAACACATAAATATACCCAACTTCCTTTCTTAACATTCCCTGGAAAACTGTTCCATCAGTACCTACACATCTAAGTTTTTCTCTTCAGGGCTACAAAGTACTAAATTTTTTGAATTTTATCATTGATTTCATCATTCCTCTATTGAGGAACATGTAGATTATACTTAGTCTCTTGCTATTAAAATGGTGTTGCAGCCCCGGTGTCAGTTGGTTGGGCTCAGTGGCTCAGTTGGTTGTAGCATCATCCTGTAATCTAGCGGTCCCAATTTTTTTTTGGCACCAGAGACCAGTTTCATGGAAGACAATTTTTCCACAGAAGTGGGGTATGGTTTTGGGATGAGTCAAGCACATTACATTCAAACTCACCACCTGCTGTGCGACCCAGTTCCTAACAGTCCCAGACCAGTACTGCTCCATGGCCCAGAGGTTGGGGACCCCTGCTGTAATCAAAAGGTTGTGAGTTTGGGCCCTGGTCTGGGTGTGTACAATAGGCAATCAAATGATGCCTCTCTCTTGCATCGATGTTTCTCTCCCCTCCTCTCCCTCTAAAAGCAGTGAAAAATATTCTTGGGTGAAAATAAAAAAAATAAAAAGGTGTTGCAGTGAATAAACTTGGATGTATGTCTTTCAACTAACATGCAAAAATATCTATAGCAATATTCTATATTGCTAAATTTTACTTTTAGTATTACTGAAAGTAAAATTGTCAGTTTAGTAACAATGTTAATAATGTTTAATATTTATATACTGGTAATACTTTCTGCTTGCCAGGCACTCTAAACACTTTAATTCTCTTTAAGTTTTTCTTTTAATTTCTTAATTTTTCTAAGGTTTCTTGCAACAGTGCTATGAGAGTAGGCCCTATTATTACTCTACTTTATAGGTGAGAAAATTGAAAGATAAGTTTTGAGAAATAGTGCCTTTATTGGTTATTTTCTATACTTCACTTTTGGCTTCTGTTTCCTCTGATCTAAGCATTACTTAATAGTAGTTCCTTTAATTTCTAGAAAGTTTCCATTTCTGTTTTTAATTCCTAGCTTTATTCATTATAATCAGTGATTATCAGTTTTACTAATTTTAGTTTTTTAGAATATATTAAAGTTTTGTATATATTGCTATCTATTGACATCTCTGTCTTGAAAATAAAGTAGACAATGGCCCATTTTTTTGATCATCCAGAACTTCAAAAGTAAGTTCCATGCTATTTTACATATGTGATAATCTACAATATAATAAGTTATATGAAAAAAAAATTAAGTAAGTTTTCTTTACTCTTAAGGTATAGTGTTTAAAATATGTCAGTTGGACATATCTTTCTGATTTATATATACATTTAGATTCTCCAAAATTCTGTTTTTTCCTTATAATGACTCTGTCTTGGGCTGAAAAAAAGTGAATTAGGGGCATCTTAATAGATGTTTCCTGTTGTGTTTCTGTCAATTTCTCCTTTATGTAAAAAAAAAAAAAAACAGCTTTTGCTTTAAAACAAGTTTTTATCTTAATGATACTACAAGATTTATAGTTATGCCTTCACTGTGGAGTTTATTCTTTATTACCAATGGCCATCTAGCTTATTTAATGCTTTTCACATTGAAAAACCAACCTTCTCAAATATTAATACCATAACACCTGCTTCAGTACTGTTTACATTTGTCTGCGAACCTGTACCCATCTTTTAACTTTACATTTTTCTGGATTTTTTTTTTTATTGACTGAGTTTTATGCAGATGTTTTGGGGTTTTCTCCTTTGATGCAGTCTGAGTTTTTCTTGTAATGGGCCATTTACCTATTTAGACTTGTATGTATGAGAGAAATGTTGAGTTTTAGTTGTAGTGTCCCACATGCTTTCTATTTATAATGCTTCCTTTGTTATTTTTTATTTCATAGTCTGTATTGTGTATTCTCTTTGTGTTTTACTTCTCATAGTTTGGAAGTTTGTTTTTTTTTACTGCTTTTAGCAATTACTTCCATGTGTTTATATGGTATACGTCAATATCTCTAGCTTGTATATTCCCTTTGGACAGTATCTGTCGGTTGTCTCTATGAAGGGCAAGGAAGTGAACATGAATTTCCTGACATCCTTAAACTTCTCTTCCAAGCGTATGGTCTGTTAAATAAAGCCCCAATTTTTCTGGCA